TTTGAAAATCATATACCTAGGAATTAATTGAAGCAAGGAAGGGAAGTACTTATACACTGAAAACAAGATTTTATTAAAGGATTTAAATAGTAACATAAGGAGGTGGGAGAGATAGTCCATGTTCATGGATAAAGAGAATCAATACACAAAATATACAATATACAAAATAACTATTGTGCCAAAAGTGATTTATAAATTTAATACAGTCCCCATTAAAACACCAATAATATTCTTCAAAGAAATGCAAAAATACTAAAATTTGTTTGGAACTATAAAAGACCTCAAATAAAGGAGAGATGGAGGCTTGCTACCTGGCCTTAAAGTATACTATAGGCCACGGGTAATTAAACAAATACATGGTAATGGAATAAAAATTCTACACATGGATCAGTGGGGCAGATTGGAAAACTCAAAAGGTACATGAACATAATATATATATATACTTAATTTATGCAATAGAGTCAGAGAATGGAGAGTCTTTTTAAGAAATGGTTCTGGGAAAAATGGACAGTCAAAGGTAAAAAGAATGAAATTGCTTAACTTTTAATTCCATGAACAAAAAAAAATGTGAAATGATTAAAACTTAGATATAAGACATCAACAGTAAAGTTAATAGAAAAATACATTGGTGACATTCCATATCATCAATAATAAAGGTGTTATTGTAGACTTGAACCCTAATGGCTAGGAAAATTAAAAAAAGCAAAAATAATATTTGGAATTACCCTAAGTTAAAAAACTTTTACACATAAAAGAAAATATAAGGAAATCCTACAGAGTGGGGGAAAATACTCCTAATGTTACACCACTAGCAAGGCAGTTAGCATCCAAGGTAGACTAAAAGGTTGTTCACTTCAACATTGTAACAAACAACCCAATCAGTAAATGGGTCCTAGATCTCAACAATTTACCAAAGAGTGTCAGGTTGTCTAGTAGATATTTATTACTACGTGAAAACAACAATGAAACGATGCCTGATATCATGCATGCATATCACAAATTGTGTTGCCACTAAGTCATTACACATTTTTTTCTTTGAAAACACAAAAAGTTCATCACAACTTTTCTGACAACCAATTGTTTTTTTAAAAAAAGCAAATAAGGGCCCTCCCTGGTGGCGCAGCAGATTAAAGCACAGCACTAAGAAGCTTTAGCCACTTCCACATGAGTTGGATCCACATGGCGTGGCAGACCTCTCCTGACCCTCCCGCTGCTCCCCTCAGCAGTGTACTTCGTCAATCTGCCTGTTCTGCTCCCTGCTCTGTCTCTGGTGAATCCTCTCACCCTCCACATCTCTGGCCTGTACCCCAGTTCTGTATGAATAAATAAATAAATCTTTTTTTTAAAAAAAGAGCAAATAAATACTTGGAGAGGATTCAGAGGAAGGAGCCCTTATACGCTTGGTGGGAATGTAAACTGCTGCAGTCATTTTGGAAAACAGTATGGATTTAGCTTAAAAAACTGAAAGAAATACCAAATGACCAATCCCGTTTTTGAAGAATATGAAGCCATTGGTTCAAATAATTATATTCTCAGTGTTTATTCTGGCATTACTTAGGCTAGCTAGGACATGGAAACAACCTGTGTCCTCTGAAAGAATTGAACTAAGATGTGGTTTATTCATACAGTGGAATATTATTCAGCTATGAGAGCTCAAAATGTTCCCATTTATAGTAAAGTAGAAGTTTGAGGGAATAATGTGTACAGCAAGTCAGAATTATAGGCAAATGTTGAAGGTTTATATAGACACAATTAGACAAACCAAATACTTAATAAATTAGCCAATGCTAATGAGAGAAGGCTTCTGCTGTTAAAAGGGAAGTGGAGGGAGAAAGTATCAAAAAAGTGGCATAAGAGATTGTATTGAGAGAAAAATATTATTTTCTGTTTACAGAATTAGATGGCATACTGTAAATCTAAATACAATTCTAGTATTACATCTGGACAGGCTGTTCACAGGCTGTTTTGTTCTAATAATTAATTTCCTCCATTGGGTGCATCTGTCTTAGATCAGTATTACTGCTTTCCCTCTTTAATAATTCTCCACAAGTACTTTTAATTGTTTGTGGTGGTAGAAGTTTGTCAGTGTTACTTGTTTTTTTTTTTTCCTTTATTATTACCATTATTTAAAATTACCATAATCTTATAATAAGATTATTGTTGTTAATGTACTACTTAGAAAAATTTGAATTATATAAATCTGAAAAAAAATGGAGTTTTCAAAATTTGTATGCAAGTAAAAGTTATCCTTTTGGACTTTGAGTTCCTGGTATGTTTCACTTTTAGTAGAATTGTTTAAATTGTGCCTGTTGTTACTGGAGAAGTACAGTTGAATTGTGCTTTAGCATCTTTTGTTCTTTAATCCCTTTATTATTTTAGTGATTAAATTAAAATACTAAGTGTAGCAGTTTTCTCAAGGACTAATAGATGCACGATAAACTGTACATGCAATAATAAATAAGATGATATGCTTTCCCATAGTTTTCAGTTATCAAATCTCTTGCTATAGCTATTGTATTTAAGGGAGAAATTATCCCTGTGACTCTGGGATTATCTCTTCCCTCGGAGTTGTGTTTCCTAAAAATTTCCCTTTATTTTCTTAGTTTTAACTCTTTTATTTACATGACTTGGAATCATCATCATTAGCCTTCTGAACGTGGTCTTCATTTTTAATCTTACTGTTTTCTTTTCTTGCCCAGTAGTCCCATATCAAGTGCATGTTGAAGGCTCTTGCGTAGAGTTCTCCTTTGACTGTTATCTCTGTTCTCTTATACTCTGCTAACAGTTCTCAGGTAGCTTAGTTAAACCAGCTTGTTTTACTGTCCACCACTATTCACAGACTTTCTGGTCTAATTCAACCTTTCTCAGTTAGGGTCCCATCTGAGAATTAAGCCTTGAGAACTTGAAGTATCTATTACAGCTTTTAGAATGATACTAGTTTTTGATCTTCTTTGGCAGAATTAAGAATGTAAGGCATTCATAATTTTTTGTAGGACAGCCTCTCTCCTAGATCCCTATCGAAAGGCTGCTCCAGTTATACGTAGCTACTTTGTCTGGCATCTCTTTGTTTGCTCATTTACTTCCTCTGACTGGCTATAACCAGTTCTGTCTCATTTTAAACTGCATGCTGTCTTTCTTGGTTTATAGATGAAAATCTCTCCCTTCCCCATGCACCATACCTTTAGCCCATGTTCACAAAGATATGCTTATGGAAAGCATGTGTGTTACACACACTTTGACTCAGTACTTTGTTCATTTCCTCACAAAATCTTCACTAATGATTTCCTATGTTCCTTATTAGGAGAGAAGGTATGATTCTTGGTCAGCATTTATATCTCAGCTCTTTCTGTGGTACCATGTGTACAGTAGGCACTCTAAAAGTTTGTTTGCTAAACTACTGAAAGTCCCACTGACAAAGATAATTGCTTTGGGGCACTTTACTTGTAAGTCTTGCTTTACCAGTTTTTTCCTTTGTACGTACCAACCCCTAATGAGTCCAGATTCTTAATTGCTGTTTTATCATCCTTTTAAAACTTGACCTATCCTATCTCTACCTTGACCAGTAGAGAACATTTGAGATGAATACAGTTGCCAGTGAAGAGTGAGTTGTAAGTACAAGAGATTGAGCAAGCAAAGTTTTCAGCTATTGAGATCATGCATTTTTATGATAAATGAAGCTATTTATATAGTTTCTTTACAAGAAACATTTTCTCTGTAATAAATAGACCCTAAGTATTTTAAAGAGACAGTATTTGAAAAGGATAAAGTTAGCTATGTAAAATGTCAACCATTTTAATAAATCTTTTTTTTTTAATATTGATTACAAATGTATTCTGTAATTTTGAGATGGATTTTGGAAAATAGAAGAAAACCCAAAGAAAGAAAGGAGATAGTTGGTTAGAGAAAATATCACTGTTTATCTCTTGGTGAATGTGTAACCAGTCTTGTATATATATTTTCTCATGTCATTAGGTCATTATGTAATACTAAATTTATTAATCTCAGTTGAAGATTCCATTTTTTTAACCTGCCTTTTGCTTTTCAACAATAGAAATGTTAATGGTATAAGCATCCTTAAATAAAAATCTGGCACATATCCAGAGACCTAGAAAAGACATTGCTGTGTTAGAAGGAAGACTTGTGTACTAATAGCATTTAGGTTAGATAGACACAGCACCAGAGAGGAGGTTTGACTAACCAGCTTATACTCAAAACTGTAATGTGCAACTCTGTAAAATAAAATAAGCCTTGTGTAGTTAGTTCAGATTATGACATTATCCAAGAAGCACACATTAGTAGAGCAGGATGCCAGATTCCATCCTGTTTGGTTTTTATTGTATTCATTTTTTTGATTCACAAATGTTTTGCTGGTGTTTGTATCTTTTCTTCAGTGTAGTAGAAATTAATCTTCTCTAAAATGCTAGAGTCAGTCTTTGGCATAGCCCAAACAGAGCAGAAGGTAGGTTTTCATATTTTTAGTGTTCCAATCCTCTTCCACCTGTTTCTTAATATCATGTTGGACTTTCTTAAGAGTACAAACAAAGCCTGGGAACAATGCCTGTTATTTCCATGTGATCACCCACAGGTAGCTAGATGGTGGCTTTTTCCAGAGAGAAATACATGATACATACTAGGAATTAGCAGTTTGGTGAGGGGGATACTTAACCATTTGGCAAAACTGGACTCTACAGTAATTTTTTGGAGAAGTCAATCTGTTTGAACATAAAAAGCACCTCAGCCCTGGGAACAATGCCTGTTATTTCCATGTGATCACCCACAGGTAGCTAGATGGTGGCTTTTTCCAGAGAGAAATACATGATACATACTAGGAATTAGCAGTTTGGTGAGGGGGATACTTAACCATTTGGCAAAACTGGACTCTACAGTAATTTTTTGGAGAAGTCAATATGTTTGAACATGAAAAGCACCTCAGTTTATATGACAATTAAACCAGACTAATATATAATAAGATCATTAAATTGTGTATTGTTCTCTTCTAGTATTAATTTTAAAGACCCACAGTTTGCCGAAGATTACATTTTTAAAGCTGTAATGCTTCCAGGAGCAAGGTAACAACATTGCGGTTACAAAGTATAAATTATCTTGGTTTATTTTGTATGAACAGTGTCCATCAACATAACTAAATACTGTATTTTCAAATGGTCAGAAAACCAGCGCCAGTACTGAAACCTAGTGACTGGGAGAAATCCAGCAATGGACGGCAGTGGAAGCCCCAACTTGGCTTTAATCGGGATCGGCGACCTGTCCACCTAGACCAGGCAGCGTTCAGGACTTTGGGGTGAGTGGTAGGTTTCTACCCTTTGTATATTTTGCTTTTTCTGAATTACCCACAAAGTGTTATGAGTATTTGTACCACAGACATTTGAAGACCATTAAATATAGCTGTTTTGCAGATATTTTTTTTTATTTTTTTAACAAAAGTTTATTTTTACATCATTTTGTACATTTATTTTTTCCATCTCGATTGTAATCCCCGCGGGTTTCCCATCACCAAGTCACCCGTGTGCCATCACCATCCTCCCGTGCATTTCCCTCCCCACCCCCCCGTTTTTTATCCCATTCCCCACTCCACCCCCGCATGTTTTGCAGATATTTTAATGACTTTGATGCATTCTGCTGCATTTTATTATTTAAAATTCACTTCTGCGGCTTATATATTGCTTTATATGTTGCTTGAAAATCCCAGTGTTTTCTCATAAGAAGTTTTGCTTATCTTTATGATAGTTATTTTGAAGAAATAAAATACTCAAAGTTTCAAAACTATAACTGGTAAAAACAGTAATAGAATTGAAAGAAGTATTGTTATGAGTTATTGTGAATTAATAACTAATAAATAGATAATTCCAATTCACAGGAAAATTGTAAATTTCAAAATGGATTTAGGCAATAGGTGACCACTAGCATGTACTTCTACTGTGAATAGAAAGGAACGGTGTTGTGTAGTGGTTAAAAGCACATACGCACTGGATCCTAAATGTCTGGATTCAGGCATTTGGATGAATAAATTCATCCAATCTAAGGCCTAGGATAACTCTATGCCTTTGTTTCTTAGTGTGGAATGGGAATGATAACTGTGCCTTTCTCACCAAATTAATGTGAGCTGTTAGCTTTCAGGTGCTTAGGCTAGTTCTTAAATGATGTAACTAAATGTAGTTTTGGAGCCTTCATTCTTTTTTTTTTTTTTTTTTAAGATTTATTTATTTATGCATACAGAAATGGGGTATAAGCCAGAGGTGCAGGATGGTGACAGGGTTCACCAGAAACAGTGGGGAGCAGAACAGGCAGATCAAGGAAGTACACTGCTGAAGAGACCAGCGGGTGGATCAAGAGAGGTCTGCCATGCCATGTGGATCACCTCCAGAGCTGGGGATCAAATTCACACTGAAGCGGCCACAGCTAGCTTATAATGTTGAGTCCTTACCCATTGTGCCACCAGGGAGGGCCCTTGGAGTCTTCATTCTTAATAGCAGAAGAAATGCAAATTTTAAATGTTCTAAAAACACCAGGTTTTGACGTTTATTCTTTGATCCAAATTCCTCCTTCTTAGAATTTATCCTAAGAATTTTAGAGGTACATAAAGTTGTCTACCTAGCCATCTCTGGTACATTGTTATCGATAATACTAGTACCAATCAGTGGAATGGTTTAATATGAGACATCAATATGGTATGTGTCCTATAATTATGAAGTCTTCAGAAGAGACAGAGAATGTTTGATATAACAAACTGAAACTAGAAAGAGAATAATGATGATACATCCTGATTCTTGGAAGACCTGAAATATGATACAAAAAATAAAAAACAGGCTTGTTTTTGCATAAAATAATTAATAAAAATTTAAATGATATCAATTAAGAATTTTGGTGTCACAAAATTAGCATCAAGAACTGCCTTGAGGGCTCTCCCTGGTGGTGCAGTCGGTTTAAACACCACATTATGTATACGGAGAACTGATGAAACTCAACAAAAATAAACAACCCCATCAAAAAATGGGCAGTAGAGCTAAAAAGACACTTCTCCAAAGAGGAAATGCAGATGGCCAACAATCATATGAAAAAATGTTCAACATCACTCGTAATAAGGAGATGTAAATTAAAACCACAATGAGATACCACCTCACCCCAGTGAGAATGGCACATCTTCAAAAAACTAGCAACAACAAATGTTGGCAAGGATGTGGTGAAAAAGGAACTCTCCTGCACTGCTGGTGGGAATGCAAACTAGTACAACCACTATGGAAAACTGTTTGGAGGTTCCTCAAACTGCTAAACATGGAGCTTCCCTACGACCCAGCAATCCCACTCCTTGGTATCTACCCAAAAGACACAAAAACACTGATTGAAAAAGATACCTGTACCCCCATGTTTATTGCTGCTTTATTTACAATTGGAAAAACATGGAAGCAGCCCAAATGCCCAAAAGTAGATGACTGGATAAAAAAGAAGTGGTACATATATATAATGGAATATTACTCAGCAACCAAAAAAGAGAAACACATGTCTTTTGCAGCAACTTGGATGGAACTGGAAAAGATCATGCTTAGTGAGATAAGCCAGAAAGAGAAAGAAAAATACCGGATGGTTTCACTCATAGCAGGAGTATAATGGACCAGGTGGAAAATAACAAAAATAATGAACAACCATATACCAGAGACATTTTGTGGGGGTCGAGTGGGGAATGGGATCAAAAACGGGGTGGGGGAGGGAAATGCATGGGATTATGGTGATGGCACATGGGTGACTTGGTGATGGGAAACCCGCGGGGATTACCATTGAGATGGAAAAAAAAAATGTACAAAATGATGTAAAAAAAAAAACCAAAAAACACCACATTATGAGGCTCTCTGAAGCCACTGCAGCACAAGTTCTGTTCCCTGCCAGGGAGCTGACCCACATGGCATGATAGACCTCTCCTGGCCTGCCCGCTGCTCCCCTCAGCAGTGTACTTCAGTAGACCTGCCTGTTCTGCTCCCCACTCTTGTCTCTGGTGAATTCTCTCACCTACCACACTCTGGCCTATACCCCAGTTTTGTAAGATTTTATAAATAAATAAAACCTTAAAAAAAAAAACTGCTCTGGGCCCTCCCTGGTGGCGCAGCAGGTTAAAGCACAGCACAAAGAAGCTTAAGCCACTTCCTCATGAGTTCGATTCCCACCTGCCCCATAGGAGATCCACATGGCGTGGCAGAACTCTCCTGACCCGCCCGCTGCTCCCCTCAGCTGTGTACTTCATCGATCTGCCTGTTCTGCTCCCTGCTCTGTCTCTGGTGAATCCTCTCACCCTTTGCATCTCTGGCCTGTACCCCAGTTCTGTACAAATAAATAAATAAATCTTTAAAAAAAAACTGCTTTGAACTTTATTATCTTTTAAGTTTATGTTATTTTAATCAGTTCTAGTAATAAGAGATAGCTGCTTAGATTTGTTAAATTTGTGTTAGCTGTAATGTGATGTCTAATCTATGTATAATTTTTTTCTGGTGGTGGGGGACATCCTTTTACAGCCATGTTATACCAAGAGGCTCAGGAACTGGCGTTTACAGCAATGCTGCTCCACCACCTGCAGCTTATCAGGGAAACTTATACAGGCCGCTTCTAAGAGGACAAGCCCAGATTCCAAAACTTATGTCAAGTAAGTGCCTGCTTATTTATCATTTTACATAATAGGTTAAATATTACAATAAATGTTGCTTTTAATTTGTGTTACTAAAATGGTTTATCAGTGCAGACATAGTGAGCTTAAAGAACATAATTTAGTAGTATTACAAGATAAGTCTTTCAGAATAATACAACTTGGATTTGTTTTCATTTATAAATTTGCTTCTGAGTGAACCTATGTAGAAGGAAGTAATGTGAAATGAATTGCCATTTATTCTGTCAATACATGTTTTGGGGCAGTTAAGTCAGGTCTAAAGTAGATTTAGAATTGCAACCACTTATTTAAGTGAAAGACAATAGTGTTCCCTTTTTGATGCAAATAGTATTATCAGTACTAAGATAAAACCAGACATTGCTCTAGGTAGGAATATGCCTTTAACCTGTGTTCCTAAGAAAATCATGACTTTTCCCTACACTTTTCAACTTTGTGGACAGAAGTGCTTCAGCAAGGTTAGCTGTGATAATAATTACATGCTATTTGCACTGTAGTGGCAAAGGGAGAAAATTCTTGAATTTGAGATTTTAATAAGTCATGCATTAATTTTAAGTTGTATTCCCATTTAACTTGACTGCTCATTTATTAAGGAAGTATAACTTATGTGCCAAGTTCTCAACCATGTTTTTCATGAAACCCTGCTTTTCTTTTACTGATTATCTAGTTGCTATACAGTCAATAGTAGTTTAGGGTAGAGATGGAGGTGAATGAGAACTAAGGCAAGATGTTAGCATTTGTTAACTCTTAAGTGTGTTATTGTTTAAATTCTTTTCTAGCTGTTCAAAATATTTCAAAAAACATGATTTGTATAGTGTAGAAAAGGTAGTTTATTGTAGGGAACCCTCAGAATTCTTTAAACCAAAATTGCTGTTGTCTTCAGAGAGAATACCAGATAATATGATGAGTGTTGGGAAGTATTTATTAGCACTGTATTCATGCTGATTAAATTATAAACTATTTTTGAACCTAAATTTTAGATTTTCCATATATACTACCTAGGAAGAAATGGGTTCTGAAGGTCCCATTCTCTCAGGAAGGGTCCTCTGTTTTCAGGGTATCTTTCTTTCTGTGTGTTTGTGACTTTGTTGGGTGACTTTAATGATACTGAATGGAGCATTGTTAGATTTTTTTTTCTTTTTGCTAATTAGTGTTTTAATAGGGGGTAGAGTGGATATGCTTGATACTGTGGTTTATTTAACTGTTTTTCTCTAATGTTTGGCAAGTAAAATTTGTGTGTATTTATGTGAGTACACACAAACATGGAGAAGTTAGAAAGTTCTGCTTTTCAGGGTTATACCATAAATAATGAATTTTACTCTTAGGAGCATGCTGTTCTTGGTTTTCCTCCTTTGGAAACAGACAACATTTATCTGTGTATTTCATTTCAAATATTGGGATCCTCTCTTCCCTTTTATTGCTTTGAGTAACTCTTCATTTGCCATTGTTATGATCCCTATTAGGCAAAATCTTTTTATACTTACAAAGAGACTTTGATTAAAATCTATTCCAATTAGAAAATCTTTATTTTAATTATATCATTATAAATAAGGAACATGTCTTCTAGTGTAGGGATTGACTTAAAGCAAGAAACAAGTGGGCCTCTCTGCTTGGTGACTTGTAAACATTGAGTCACTTGAGGATTAGTGCTGGGATTCTAATTATATTTAACATCTTTTCAAAGGAAGTGGGGGTGGGGAGGAGTGAAAAAGTTTATGGAAAACACTCAACAAGAAGGTGATATTTCAATTGAGCCAAGAAGGGGGAATTTGAGATATACTCTAGGCTGAGTAAAAAAATAATGATATTGAAGTACATGGTAAGTAATCAGATGGTATTAAACTTAGGATACAAAGTCTGGGAGCACAAATTAGAAAAACTTATGAAGGTGAGAGGCTGATTTCCTCCCAATTTTGTGGTGATATTTTAAAGTTATTTTAACTGTGGTATAGGCTAATTAATAAAATGTAACGTAATAGTAGAAGATTTTAAAAAAATTATCCATTATGCCACCATTGTAAAATAAGCAATGTTTCTTTCATCATTCTTCACATAAGTATTTTTTGAAAAGTATTAAGTCTACACTTTCTTAGAATGTAACATAGAATACCAAGTCATAAGTGTCCTGTTTGACTAATTTTTATGAAATAGACAAACATACTCATGTAACTACCATTCAGATCAAGAAATAAAATATTACTGGTACCCCAGAACTGCCCATATCATGTCATTTTCCAAGTATCCTTCCTTCCTCATTAAACTTAACTACTAGCCTGACTTCATATCATAAATAAGTTTTTTTTTTTTAAGATTTTATTTATTTATGGATACAGAACTCGATGGGGTACAGGCCAGAGGCTCAGGGGCGGCGAGAGGCTTCACCAGAGACAGAGTGGGGAGCAGAACAGGCAGATCGACGAAGTACACTGCTGAGGGGAGCAGCGGGCGGGTCAGGAGAGGTCTGCCGCGCCATGTGGATCACCTCCGGGGCAGGCGGGGATCGAACTCATGCGGAAGTGGCTTTAGCTTCTCAGTGCTGTGCTTTAACCCGCTGCACCACCAGGGAGGGCCCTCATAAATAAGTTTTAACTGCTTTATTATCTAGAAGGCTCTTACACTCTTTTTACAGTTTATCCTCTTTTGTTATATTTCTTAAGATTTATCCTTGTTGCTTTTAGCAGTAATTTTTAAATTCTCATTGCTTTTAGTGTTCTACTGTATAATTGTAAACATTTATTCAGAGGGATAACTTTGGGGTTGATTCCTAGTTTGGGACTACTAGAATAATAACAGATGTGAAATTTCTTACTTTTTTTTTTTTTTAAAGATTTATTTGTTTATGCATACAGAACTGGGGTACAGGCCAGAGGTGCAGGCACGGTGAGAGGATTCACCAGAGACAGAGTAGGGAGTAGATAGGCAAATCGACGAAGTACACTGCTGAAGGGAGCAGCGGGGCGGTTCAGGAGAGGTCTGCTGCGCCATGTGGGTCACCTCCCGTGCCAGGGATCGAAATCATGCTGCAGTGGCTTTAGAGCTCAATGCTGTGCTTTAACCCACTATGCCACCAGGGAGGGCCCTCCTACTCCTTTTAATCTATATTTCTCACGGGTGTAAACCTAGCAGTAGAATTGCCAGTTTAGGGTTTTGTTCTTGTGCAGTGTTAGTGAAAAAGTGAATAAAAGTAATAGACATGATTCCCACATAACATTCATTTTGCACCAACTTACCTTCCTACAGCACTTTTAGGAAAATTTTAGGTGCTCCACATTCTCACCAACCCATGGTATTGTCAATTTTTTCACTTCTAGCCATTTTACTAGATGGATAGTGGTAGCTCATTGAAGTTTAATGGCATCTTCTTAATGATACAGTTGAGTGATTTTTTTTTTTTTTAATGTTTATTGGCCACTTGGACATCTTGTAGGTGTGGGTGTGGGTGTGATGTCCCTGATGATTTTTTTCTATTGGATTGTTTTTGTTTTTTGTTTTTAATGCACACGTCTATATTCTGGTCATCATTTTTTTTTTTTTTTTGTATTGGAAATAACTCGTTCCATTTTATACCTTGCCATTTTCTCTTTACAATATCATATGATGAAACAAGTTCATACCAGCATTTGGGGAAAGTGGGTAAAAAGCATGTGGGAATTGGTATTTTCCATGTTCTTGTTACTTTTCTGTAAATTTTGAAATCATCACAATAAAAGGACAAAAATTATTCCTGATTTAATGTTTTTATAATATGATCTTCAAGATGTCATTTTTCAGTTGTTTACTTATATTTAGAAATAAAATTGACTTTTTTATATTTGACTTTGTTTCCAAAAACCTCATTAAAGTTTTTTTTAAAGTTTGTGTATTCTTTTGCACTTATTGCAATAATGTCATCTGCAAATTGTTTTAATTACTCAGTTTCCAAATCTTAATGCCTTACTGTCTTTCTGTGTCACTGTATCTAGGGCCTCTGATATCATAAGTTGAAATGGTAATGGTAGACATTTTTGCTCTGTTCCTAGTCTTAAGGGGGAAACATGGTATTTTACCATTAAATAAGATGTTTGACTTCATTCTTTTTCCTTATTAGATTGAGATAGTTTTCTTCTTTCTGTTCCATGTTTCTAGTGGGTATTGAATCTTATTAAATGCTTTTCCTCTATCTGTTTTGTGGCAAATTACATTCATTGATTGTTTCATTGTCAAACCAACCTGGCATTACTGGAATAAACCTAATTCGGTATGAATTTTATTATATGTCACTGCTGGTGTATCAGTAGATTGAGTTCCCCCCCCCCACACACACACACACCTATATTTGGAGAAAGATTAGCTAATAACTTCTCTGTGTAGTAGAGTTTCCTACATTTCTGTTTTCTATAAGGTTACTGAAACTTAGTTGTCATATCTTAATCTTTAAAAGAATTCAGTGGTGAAATCTTTTGGGTTAAACAATTTCTTCACATGGTTTTGAGTATATATTCAAATTTAAGTAGACACAGCTTATTCCTCTTTTTGTTGGAATGTACCCATTCTGAAGTTTCAAATTTATTGCTAGAAGTTGTTCATGATATGTTTTTATTGTGGTAATGGCTATAGATAGTTTTGATATTGGTAATGTATACTGTTGCTTTTTTTTCTTGATGATTGTTGCTCAGGCCTACCTAATATAGATATCTTTTTTAATTGAATTAACTTTAGCTTTTCTTTTTTTTTTCTAATTCTATTTGTTTTGTTTGATTTCTGCTTTTGTCACTATTCCTTTATACTTTTAGTATCAAATTGCTAATTTGTAGTATCAAATTGGAAACTTAAATTTATTTTTAGTCTTATCTAATATGTGCACGTAAGTACTATAAATTTCTCTAATCACTTTAGCATTTTCATACATTTTTTTCTGTGTCAGCCATTATTCAATTTATATCAATAAAATTTTGATTCACATTTTTATATGGTCATGAGTTATTTTGAAGTATATTGCTTAA